ACAATGTTGTGTGGCTATGTTGCGTGACTGGGATTAAATTCCAAACCATGCTATTATATTCTAGTACAATAGATCGCTACAAGCTGCTCTAATTTACGCCTGGCTGCCCGTGGCCCAATGGACTATTCCAGCACCCAGGAATAAATGGAATGCCAGCGTGCTCCAGCTACATCCCCATTTCACAGGCCACACATCCTATGCCAGGAAATGTGGGTGGGTGCCAAACAGCCACTAGACCAGCTCTGTCCCACCCCTGGGTTCCTGCTGCACAGGGGAATTCACCAGCTTTGCAGCCTCTTTTTTGGTGATGATTTGCAATGCAGTGGCATTGTAATTGAAAGAAGAATTGAACAGCTAGCATGAGAGCCCACACTGCAGCTTTTCTGCCTCACAATTGTGGGTGTACCATGTTTAGTGCATTGTAGGAAAATCTGGGCAGCCGTGGATGGAGCATCCAGAGGCATACACCGAGAGTGGCATCAGCAACACTTAGCCCTGGCCTACACTGGGGGGCGGGGGAGGGGACCGACCTAAGATACGCAACTTCAGCTACACGACTGCTGCCACTCCCCCGTCGACTCCGCTTCCACCTTTCGTGAGCTGGAGTTCCGGAGTTGATGGGGAGCGTGTTTGGGGATCGATTTATCGCATCTAGGTGAGATGCAATAAATCGATCCCCACTAGATCAATCACTACCCGCCGATCTGGTGGGTAGTGAAGACCTGCCCTTGGAGATTAGCACTCTGTGACGTCCTACTACACACACAGCTAGTTGGAAGGAAGACCAGCCAAACAAGCTACATAGCTTAGTTAGGAATTCCTGTCTGTCCAGAAAAATAACAACGTTGAAAACTGATTACAATAAGGAAACCATGTGCTAGGACAGGCTTCTATCGGTCTCCCACAGTTTTTACATGGCCCCATCATTGTAATTTCTGAATGCTTAAGCTTTTGACAAGGGGAATGCGTGATTAGCAGCCACAGCACCTGGCTGCATTAGTAATGTTGCATGTGCACATAAGGTGTGTTTAGAGCTAGGTATTTCACTAACTGGGTAAAAAAATTCCTTTAAAAGTTATATTGTACACAAGACCTCGTGGACGATACCAAGCCGGGAGGGGTTACAAGTGGTTTGGAGAATAGGATCATAATTTAAAATGATCTGGACAAACTGGAGAAATGGTCTGAAGTAAATAGGATGAAATTCAACAAGGACAAATGCAAATTACTCCATTTAGGAAGGAACATTCAGTTGCACACATACAACATGGGAAATGACTGCCTAGGAAGGAGTATTATGGAAAGGGATCTGGGGGTCATAGTGGATCACAAGCTGAATATGAGTCAACAGTGTAACACTGCTGCAAAAAAAGTGAACACCATTCTGGGATGTATTAGCAGAGTATTGTAAGCAAGACACAAGAAGCAATTATTTCATTCTACTCTACACTGATTAGGCCTCAACAGGAATATTGTGTCCAGTTCAGGGTGCTACATTTCAGGAAAGATGTGGACAAACTGGAGAAAGTCAAGAGAAGAGCAGCAAAAATGATTAAAGGTCTAGAAAACATGACCTGTGAGGGAAGATAGAAAAAAATGGGTTTGTTTAGTCTGTAGAAGAGAAGACTGAGAGGGGACACGAAAACAGTTTTCAAGTACATAAAAGGTTGTTACAAGGAGAAGGGAGAAAAATTGTTCTCCTTAACCTCTGAGGATGGGACAAGAAGCAATGGGCTTAAATTGCAGCAAGGGAGGTTTAGGTTGGACATTAGGAAAAACTTCCTGTCAGGGTGGTTAAGCACTGGAATAAATTGCCCAGGGAGATTGTGGACTCTGTATCATTGGAGATTTTTAAGAACAGGTTAGACAAACACCTGTCAGGGGTGGTCTAGATAGTACTTTGTCCTGCTATGAGTGCAGGGAACTGGACTAGATGACCTCTCGAGGTCCCTTCCAGTCCTGGGATTCTGTGATTATTTAAACAAAGCACAGTATACAACACTGGTCCCTACAGTGATGGTAGCTAATCATCCAAACCAAACAAGGTTCTTTTTCCTTCATGCAATTTTAGAGGATCCCTTTCCCCTTGGCAGAAACGAAAAACCGGAAAGATCTTGCCTTTTCTGGAATAGTAATGTAATCCATTGGTCAGTATGTGTTACAGGCCTTCCTCTGTGCCCAATCTGCAGAAGAGATGAGTCTATTATAGCCCAGCTAGAGACCCAGGACTCTTTGGCTCAAGCTGTAGCCGCTCATGCTTTTACCTCTGGAGGTCCATCAGACAAACAGAAACAAACCGAGTTCTCTCCTTACCGGAGTGCAAGTGGAGTTATCCAGTCCCACCGTAGGAAAAGAGTAATATTTCCCCACTCCAACCCATCCTTTTTCTATTTTTATGTAAATCTTGCAGTTGGTCTCTGTAGCTGAAAAATGGTGATTTTGCAACATGAATAAATGGGGACTAAGATATTACCAGCAAACTTTGTTCCTCTTGGTCATATGGGGAGAACATTAATGTATTTCTAGGGCACTGGTCATCATAGTATCTGATTACCTAATCCAGGTCTGTGGTATAGAAGCACTGTTGTATTAATCCAGTGTTTCCCTGAAATGCATTTGTGGTCGGCGTCACATATATTATGGGTACAGCCCTATCAAATTCGTAGTCCATTTTGGTCAGTTTAATGGTCAAAGGATTTTAAAAATAGTAAATTTCATGATTTCAGCTATTTAAATCTGAAATTTCACCGTAATTGTAGGGGTCCTGACCCAAAAAGGAGTTGCGTGGGGTGGCGAGGTTATTGTGGGGGGGGGGGGGGGGAAGGGGTGGTATTGCCTCCCTTATTTCTACACTGCTGTTGGCAGGGCGCTGCCTTCAGAGCTGGGCAGCCAGCCAACAGCCACCACTTTCCGGCCACTCAGCTCTGAAGGCAGCACAGAAGTAAGGGTGGCAATACCACAACCCCCCCTAAAATAACTTTCTACACCCCCACCCCCCACAACTCCTTTTTGGGTCAGGACCCGCAATTCGAGAAACTCTCGTCTCCCCTGTGAAATCTGTATAGTTCAGGGTAAAAGCACACAAAAGACCAGATTTCGCAGTCCATGATGCTTTTTTCATGGCCGTGAATTTGGAAGGGCCCTAATTATGGGCCACCCTTTATGCTTGTTCTCTGCCATCCAGCACTTTGAACAAGAAGCTGGCTGTAGAGGGAAATCCTAATCAGTTTCAGTCTCCTGCCAGCTCCAAGTGTAAAGTGCTTGATGCCAAACAAAATGACACAGCTTATTCCCAGAGAGTCAGTCTTATACTGCATCAGAGGCTTGTCACATCACTTTTGTCAGCTCCGTGTGTGCGTGGGCGTGCGCATACACACTCAGGCATGTGCAGAGGTGCATGAAAATGGGGAAAATTACAGAATAGAAAAACAAAAATGGATAAGAGACAAACTGAAAGGAAGAGAAGAGAAAGAGAGGGACTTGGATGACAGAATAGGGAAACAAAGAAAGGAAGACGCGGGGGCGGGGTAAAGGTGGCAGAAGAAACACCATGGATCTAAGTAGTGACATTCATAATTTTTCTCCTGATAATTACAGTGGTTACCATTCAAATCTTTACAATTGGCTTTGCAAGCCATTAACATTACCATGGTGTTGATTCTACTTCTTACAGGGAATATAGTGAATACCATAGTGATGTTATTTGTTTACAAAGGCAAAATTGTAAAGAATTTTGTAGCGACCACAAGACCTAGAGCAACAACATTTAGAGGGGAGCAACCAGAATGTGCACCCTACTGTATGAGATATAAAATAGTCTATGTATGAAGCTGCAGTGGGCCAGATACATATAAAGATAAGCCTGGATGCTCCCCCTATTCTCTGCCTTCTGAGATACCTCCTTATGCTATTGGTGCTCAGACAATATTTACTTTTTTATAAAACCCCTGGGGAAATCCTGTACACAGCTTCACCCTGCTCTTACCCCTCTTTGTACGTCAGTTTGTTTCCTCAGCTGCAATGATAACAATAAGTTCATGTTAGAGATGGACCTGAATGTGATCACCAGATCCAAACTACCTTGAACCTTCAGAAAATTTGGATCCAGATCAGTTCTGGGATCTGTCTTCATGTATTCAAATGAAGTCAAATACTATTGCAGATTTATATTATTAAGCAAAAATACCTGCTTTAATCATGTTAAAGGAACAGACTAATTTCTTCATTCTTGCTTCCTATGTTCACAAGCTCTCCGACTCACGCAACTGAGTGAAACAAAAATCAAAAAGGATTAAATCTCTCCCTGTCTTTCTCATCCAAATGCATAATGAGCGCCTGTAGGAACCGGAACTTCTCCCACGAATCTAATAATTTGCAGGTGGCAAAAAAGGGGCTACAATCAGAACTCCAACATTAATGAGGATAAAATACTGTTAAAAGCTTTTTGTGCTTTGAAAAATGTTATGATTATTGCTCTGTGCAAGAAAAGTACAGGGTAACCCTAGGAAGAGAGAGCGGGGAGGGAATAAAAATAAATATTAATCATCGACCTAGCAGACTTGGGCTAAACAGGGAGGAAAATTAAATCACTGTCCTATTGTGATTTTGGTTATTAGGTGTTGGGAGATGATCATATACTGTTATAAGAACCCAGATATATTGATAGAGAGAACTTTTCCTAGAGAACTTAAATAGAAAATCCATCTCTGCTATAGAATTCTACAGTTTGATTCAAATGCCTATAGAAATGCTGATCACATTCACTATTAAATTATATAGATTCTTTGAACAATTTATATTAGTCACATCCCAATTAAAGCCTATAGGGTTTTTACAAAAACTTTGCCCAGATGGAGGTATAAAAGTTTTGCCAATAAGCTCCAGTTTGATGTAAACATAACCGATGGACAAATTTATAATCAAATTATCTGACAATACGGATAATTAAGGGTTTCTTTATAGTACATGATCCTGTGTGCCGCAGCTAGTTCTCTACTAACCTCTGTGTATTGCTGTACTACATATTCAGGAGTTGGGCCAAGAAATACATAGAAGTCGAGGATCCCTCCAATGGTGCGGAAGGTTAAGGATGGATTTGGACTCAGAGTAATATCTGAAAGAAGAAAACAGAAGTGTTGCACACAGTAGAAATTGCCTCAGTGCCAATCCTATGCATTCTGAACCCTTCAGTGCACAGCTGCCAAGTAGGTTAGCCAGACACTTACTTTAAGCACATATCCCACCCACACAGCCCACAGAACAAGTACAAATCATCTATCTTCCAGCATCACAAAACAGAAACAGGCACCCTTGCAAGGCGGTCCTGTCTTACATGGATGGCACACTGTATGGACAAAGCGAAATAAGGAAATGTGTATAACAGTAGTAAGCTACCATGGTGCTGTGAGCTATATTTCCAGATTTATTCTATTCTGCACAATAACAAATGCACATAAAATATATTGCAAGGTTTTGTGTTTCTTAATTTCATTTATAGATAAAGGAATCACCCACATGCGTCTAAAGCTCCTCTATAGAATATATACACATCTAATTTTTTACTGGAAGTCATTGCCTGCCAGAGAAATTGATTTCATAGCTTTAGTGAAGATTCCCCTTTTCAAAATTTACAGTATTAGATTAATACAGTGAGGTGACCATGGTAACATGCAAAGCTATTCTTCTCAGATTGAGCACAATACTAACCTAAATTGACTTATTTTGCTGGTGTCAGTCCCAGAGGAAATTTCTATTGACTTCAACTTTCTCTACCCTTGCATCTAGTTTTAAAAAGTTAATCAATCATATAATTTTAGTTGAAAGTGTATATTTTATTTGTTTTACAGGAATTGCAATGAAGTCTCTTTGAGAACATAATAATGGTCCCTGGAAACTCACTTATGATATGTGTAATATTTTAGAAATCCTGTCACATATTTGTATGTTTAAAAGTCATTAGTGAAAAGAGTTATTTATATATAACAGAAACAATTTAACATCTTTCTATACTTAATCTATATATGTATGGATCATATACTGTATTACCTTGTGCATTGGAGTTCAGTAAGAGGATACCGTGAGTATTTGAGTCATTCTCGATGCACATATAAAAAGGATGAACTCCATAAAGATTGGTAAATGGCTGAAACATCAAAAATGGATTATATAGAGCTTGTTTTGCCAATCTTTCACAATCTTTGTCAACCAAAAACACATACACAGACAAGGACATTTATTAGTTCATAGCTGAAATGGGTTATTTGCATAACAAATGTAAAGCTTCATCAATAGAACAAGAGATATTTTTAGCCTCAACATTGTCACTTTTATCTTATCTTATTTAAACTCTTAGCCATGGACTATAGCACTCTGGCATTCAGGCAAATGCTCCTGAATGACCAGGCTAAGAAATTCACTGCTAATGAGAATATATCATTGACAGACCAGCATTTAAGCTGCAACTCAGCCAAGCATTTAAGAATGTGCCTAATTTTAATCCCCTTGAAGTCATTCTTAAATGCTTGGATGTATAGGGATGAACTTAAGCATGAGCTTAAATACTATGCTGAATCAGAGCCTTGACACATGGAATATTTTTTACTAGGAACGAAGAATGTTTCTTATGCCAAGTTTCCAAATCACTGTAAAATACCCAGTGATCTTACTATTTAGCTAATTATATTTTGTTGTATTTCCATAACATTTTATGAAACCCATTTTATGTTCTTTGCTGTTAATTCATAAATAACACCTCTTGTCATATAGTGATGCTATTAATCTGGTATTATTTTATTTTGCCATTTAATTTTTACAGTATGATCCCCGCACCAGATGCTGCATTAAATGACTTACTGTTGGTGGCTGGTCTCTGGAAAACATTGCATAATTAACAAAATTCATATTGTGCTTAAAGGATGGATGTTCATGTTCACCAAATCCATAAACAGAGGTGGATGGCACAATGGTGGTAATCTGCAGATACTGTCTGGAAAAAATTAAATCTCCAAGTGATGTGTCCCACCTGTGTCAAATACAGAAAGAGTCTGAACATGATTAGTTTGCTCATTCCTTATATTCATCACTTTAACATCAAGTTGGAATATTGGAAATTTTGTTGCATTTCTTGCAATAGTAACATATACAAATGCAATTTACAAATTAGTTCTGTGTGTGCTTCTAATGTGCTTAAACATATATAATATATAAAATGAGTAAAAGGAAGGCATTATATAAAGTACTGTCACTGAAATATGCAGTTGCTCTTGCTATTTCTATGACCAGTGGGACATATGGAAGACTGTTATCACATGGTGGTGTCTGCAATGTCACTAACAATAACAACATTCAGTTGCAATCATCTTTGATTAGCGTATAAAGTCCCATTGAAATTAATGGGATTACTTGTGTGCTCAAACTAAAGCATATGTTTAATGCTTTGTTGGATCAGGGCTGAGGGTTGGATCAGAGATAGATCGCTGACTTTAACAGATGTGAGGGTGCATGGTACCCCACAAGACCATGTCTTTAAACGACAGAAAGAAAAGGAGTACTTGTGGCACCTTAGAGACTAACAAATTTATTTGAGCATGAGCTTTTGTGAGCTACAGCTCACTTCATTGGATGCATACCGTGGAAACTGCAGAAGACATTATATACACAGAGACCATGAAACAATACCTCCTCCCACCCCACTCTCCTGCTGGTAATAGCTTATCTAAAGTGATCATCAAGTTGGGCCATTTCCAGCACAAATCCAGGTTTTCTCACCCTCCGCCCCCCCCCCCCACAAAAACTCACTCTCCTGCTGGAAATAGCCCATCCAAAGTGACCACTCTCTTTAAAATCTGTATGATAATCAAGGTGGGCCATTTCCAGCACAAATCCAGGTTTTCTCACCCCCCCACCCCCCTCCAAAAACCACACACACAAACTCACTCTCCTGCTGGTAATAGCTTATCCAAAGTGACCACTCTCCTCACAATGTGTATGAAAATCAAGGTGGGCCATTTCCAGCACAAATACAGGTTTTCTCACCCCCCCACCCCCTCTTTTTTTTTTTTTTTTTTTTTTCAAAAAAACACACACACAAAAACTCACTCTCCTGCTGGTAATAGCTTATCCAAAGCAACCACTCTCCCTACAATGTGCATGATAATCAAGGTGGGCCATTTCCAGCACAAATACAGGTTTTCTCACCCCCTCACCCACACAAACTCACTCTCCTGCTGGTAATAGCTCATCCAAAGTGACCACTCTCCCTACAATGTGCATGATAATCAAGGTGGGCCATTTCCAGCACAAATCCAGGTTTTCTCACCCCCCACCCCACACACACACAAACTCACTCTCCTGCTGGCAATAGCTCATCCAAACTGACCACTCTCCTTACAATGTGCATGATAATCAAGGTGGGCCATTTCCAGCATAAATCCAAGTTTAACCAGAACGTTGGGGGGGAGGGGGTAGAAAAAAACAAGGGGAAATAGGCTACCTTGCATAATGACTTAGCCACTCCCAGTCTCTATTTAAGCCTAAATTAATAGTATCCAATTTGCAAATGAATTCCAATTCAGCAGTTTCTCGCTGGAGTCTGGATTTGAAGTTTTTTTGTTGTAAGATAGTGACCTTCATGTCTGTGATTGCGTGACCAGAGAGATTGAAGTGTTCTCCGACTGGTTTATGAATGTTATAATTCTTGACATCTGATTTGTGTCCATTTATTCTTTTACGTAGAGATTGTCTAGTTTGACCAATGTACATGGCAGAGGGGCATTGCTGGCACATGATGGCATATATCACATTGGTGGATGTGCAGGTGAATGAGCCTCTGATAGTGTGGCTGATGTTATTAGACCCTGTGATGGTGTCCCCTGAATAGATATGTGGGCACAGTTGGCAACGGGCTTTGTTGCAAGGATAGGTTCCTAGGTTAGTGGTTCTGTTGTGTGGTATGTGGTTGTTGGTGAGTATTTGCTTCAGGTTGCGGGGCTGTCTGCAGGCAAGGATTGGCCTGTCTCCCAAGATTTGTGAGAGTGTTGGGTCATCCTTCCGGATAGGTTGTAGATCCTTAATAATGCGTTGGAGGGGTTTTAGTTGGGGGCTGAAGGTGATGGCTAGTGGCGTTCTGTTATTTTCTTTGTTAGGCCTGTCCTGTAGCAGGTGACTTCTGGGAACTCTTCTGGCTCTATCAATCTGTTTCTTCACTTCCGCAGGTGGGTATTGTAGTTGTAAGAATGCTTGATAGAGATCTTGTAGGTGTTTGTCTCTGTCTGAGGGGTTGGAGCAAATGCGGTTGTATTGCAGAGCTTGGCTGTAGATGATGGATCGTGTGGTGTGGTCAGGGTGAAAGCTGGAGGCATGTAGGTAGGAATAGCGGTCAGTAGGTTTCCGGTATAGGGTGGTGTTTATGTGACCATTGTTTATTAGCACTGTAGTGTCCAGGAAGTGGATCTCTTGTGTGGACTGGACCGGGCTGAGGTTGATAGTGGGATGGAAATTGTTGAAATCATGGTGGAGTTCCTCAAGGGCTTCTTTTCCATGGGTCCAGATGATGAAGATGTCATCAATATAGCGCAAGTATAGTAGGGGCGTTATGGGACGAGAGCTGAGGAAGTGTTGTTCTAAGTCAGCCATAAAAATGTTGGCATACTGTGGGGCCATGCGGGTACCCACAGCAGTGCCGCTGATCTGAAGGTATACATTGTCCCCAAATGTAAAATAGTTATGGGTAAGGACAAAGTCACAAAGTTCAGACACCAGGTTTGCCATGGTATTATCAGGGATACTGTTCCTGCCTGCTTGTAGTCTATCTTTGTGCGGAAGTTGGTGTAGAGGGCTTCTACATCCATAGTGGCCAGGAGGGTGTTATCAGGAAGATCACCGATGGATTGTAGTTTCCTCAGGAAGTCAGTGGTGTCTTGAAGGTAGCTGGGAGTGCTGGTAGCGTAGGGCCTGAGGAGGGAGTCTACATAGCCAGACAATCCTGCTGTCAGGGTGCCAATACCTGAGATGATGGGGCACCCAGGATTTCCAGGTTTATGGATCTTGGATAGTAGATAGAATATCCCAGGTCGGGGTTCCAGGGGTGTGTCTGTGCAGATTTGATCTTGTGCTTTTTCAGGATGTTTCTTGAGCAAATGCTGTAGTTGCTTTTGGTAACTCTCAGTGGGATCATAGGGTAATGGCTTGTAGAAAGTGGTGTTGGAGAGCTGCCGAGCAGCCTCTTGTTCGTATTCCGACCTATTCATGATGACAACAGCATCTCCTTTGTCAGCCTTTTTGATTATGATGTCAGAGTTGTTTCTGAGGCTGTGGATGGCATTGTATTTGTGCTGGAAATGGCCCACCTTGATTATCAAAGTGGTCACTTTGGATAAGCTATTACCAGCAGGAGAGTGAGTTTGTGTGTGTGGTTTTTGGAGGGGGGGGGGGGGGGGGTGAGAAAACCTGGATTTGTGCTGGAAATGGCCCACCTTGATTATCATACAGATTTTAAAGAGAGTGGTCACTTTGGATGGGCTATTTCCAGCAGGAGAGTGAGTTTGTGGGGGGGGGGGGGCGGAGGGTGAGAAAACCTGGATTTGTGCTGGAAATGGCCCAACTTGATGATCACTTTAGATAAGCTATTACCAGCAGGAGAGTGGGGTGGGAGGAGGTATTGTTTCATGGTCTCTGTGTATATAATGTCTTCTGCAGTTTCCACGGTATGGATCCGATGAAGTGAGCTGTAGCTCACGAAAGCTCATGCTCAAATAAATTGGTTAGTCTCTAAGGTCCACTAGTACTCCTTTTCTTTTTGCGAATACAGACTAACACGGCTGTTACTCTGAAACCTGTCTTTAAACGACAGCTTTCTCTCATCTGTGACTTTATAATACCTGCATAAACAGATCAAATTTGTTCTAAACAAAGGACATTTATAGATATTTTTATATTTATGATTTTTTTCTGGGTTTCTTTCATTAGTTTTATGCATTTATTTCTATTGAATCATCTATGGACAAATACACATTTTAGGTGTTACTTCATGTTTGCTGTTACTAATGCTATAATGAGCTGTATACATACTCTGAAAGTACATTGTACCGCTATATAACATGAATGCCATACTTATATATGTATATAAGAACTGTGATTTCGTTACAATAAATTAAAATAAAAGAACCAAAACCACAGAAGGTGGTAGTGGAGGTACTTTCACATATTCATAGATCCCAAGGCCAGAACGGACCACTGTGATCATGTAAAAAGAAAAGGAGTACTTGTGGCACCTTAGAGACTAACCAATTTTAGTCTCTAAGATGCCACAAGTACTCCTTTTCTTTTTGCGAATACAGACTAACACGGCTGTTACTCTGAAACCTGTGATCATGTAGTCTGACTTCTTGTGTACACAGACCACGGATCTTCCCCAAAGTAATTCCTAGTGGCCAGTGCATATATCTTAGAAAAAATCCAATCTTGATTTTAAAATGGTCGGTGATGAACAATCCACCACAAGCCATGGTAAATTGTTCCAGTGGTTAACTATGCTTACTGTTAAAATGTGCGCCTTTTTCCTGTGTGAATATAAATACAAATATAAATATTAAATCCTTTAATATGAATTATTTGTTATCAGCGGTTTTGGTAAAATTAAATGGAATACCAAATTAGCCCATAAACTGAAGGGCCATAATCCATTTAATGTAGATGTAAAATCTTAACTACAATTTCTGTTAAGAACTTTTCATATAGGCCTGGAGTCCACAGCTTGGCCTGGGGCATGAGGGCTAGCTAACAAAGAACAATACGTGGCTAAGAGAAAGCTGGGGTAGACAGACAACCTTGTGCGTTTCAAATCGATTAGTGGAGTCAGCATGACTCCAGACGGTGAGCTGTAATTGGCTGTCCTTAGCGCGAGTTATAGACACATAAAACGCTAAGAAGGGCCTCAAAGTTAACTCCCTGATGCAGGAAGGAGATAGTGGTACAATACCCCTCAGATGCCAGAACAGAGTTCAGGGAGAGGCCTAACATGAT